CCCCCTTCCTTCACAAACACAACACACATACAGGGAAATACAGCCTGTAGCATTTGTATCAGGTAATGTGATGACTCATTAGCCATAGCCATTGGCCCACGCAGTGCTGAAAAAAAATTCTTATTTTAAGTTCTGATGAAAAATCTAATGTCATATTTGTGGTCACCGCCTCAAAATTAGTGAAGTTCACATGTAAACTACTGGTTTAAATGCATATTAACAATTTTATTAATTTTAAGAAGGAAATTATTCATGGTTTGATATTCCTGCCTTACATTCCTTAACCCTTCAATCTGTTCTGCATTCCGAAAATGAACAGACCAAATTGCCTGCTACCGAAAAAAAATCAGGTTGTTGCTGCCATGATAGTTGTGATTGTTATGGAATATACGCCTACTGTAAGAAGTGCGTGTCCCTCCTCAGGCCAGCATCGAGCTGAAGGCAGCGTATGGCTCGGCCAAAGACATCAGCATCTACCGCGAGCTGGGCCTGCAGCAGCATCAGATCTTTATAGTGGGGAAAGCCTCCAAGAAACAGCACAGTCAGGCACAGGTGAGTCAGTCACTGGGGGCTTGGGGAACTCACAGTCAGGCACAGGTGAGTGAGTTGCAGGGGACACAGGTGAGTGAGTCACAGGGGACACAGGTGAGTGAGTCACAGGGGCCACAGGTGAGTGAGTCAGAGGGGCCACAGGTGAGTGAGTCACAGGGGCCTCAAGTGAATGAGTCACAGGGGCCACAGGTGAGTGAGTCACAGGGGCCACATGTGAGTGAGTCACAGGGGACTCGGGTGACTGAGTCTCAGGGGACAGGTGAGGGAGTCACAGGGGCCACAGGTGAGTGAGTCACAGGGGACACAGGTGAGTGAGTCACAGGGGACTCAGGTGAGTGAGTCACAAGGGACACAGGTGAGTGAGTCACAGGGGCCACAGGTGAGTAAGTCACTGGGGACAGGTGAGTGAGTGACAGGGGGCTCGGGGAAATCATAGTGGCCTATGTGGAGGTGGATTACAATGATTGTCTTGTTCTTGTTTTTCTTGTTCTTATACTTGCTCCTCTTGCTGTTGTTGTTGTTCTTATTGTTGTTGGTGTTGTTTTTGTACTTGTTCCTCATGTTCTTCTTGTTCTTCTCATTGTTCGTATGCTCATCCTTTCTGTGGGAGGACCTTTCTTAAAAAACCCAATTTTTTGCTTCTCAGTCTGAAAAACTTTGTACAGCTGTAAAAATCTGGCAGACTTTACATATATAAATTTGTGGATGGTTGGCGGGTGCTCTGGTGTGGTTTGCTTCTTCTTGCCTATCAAACATCTATCGTCTTTATCTCCCCTCTTTCTTATTTGTGTTTGTTACTCTCTTGTAACATCTCTAAACTTCGGCACTTATATGACCTTATTGTGTTGCAAGTGCTGTAAAACACTTACTAAAACAAACATACTGTATAAATTTCTTCTTCGTCAAACCCAGCTGTCTCTTAAAAAAAGAAAAGCATTAGATCAAAGATTTGTTTCCTCTAGGTTCTCTCTGACGGCTACTCCGCTCATCTGAGCCAACTCATGTCACCGGGATTCACACGGCCCGCCGTTGGCAACGCCCGCATGTTCCTGCGCAAGTCCAACTTCCGGCTTTCGCCCAGTGAGCACCAGAGCAGGGAGAGCAAGAAGCTGGCTCGCCGCACCATCTCACACCCGGCCAAACCCTGCGGTGCGGGAGCAGAGTTCTTGCCTCTACCCGGCGAAAGTGCTCACACACGCATTGTGGTGCAGGACTTCTCTGCCACTGGGGGTGCAGGCAACGGAGGTGGTCGGTCGCGTGGAGGGTCACCTGCGCTACCCAGCACGTCTCAGAGCAAGACCACTGATGTTTGAGTAGTGAGGAAAAGTCTGTGCTACACAGTTGAAGAAAATTCACTATCTGTGAGAGCCTGCTGTGGATCTGAGAGAAGTGAACCTCGTCAAGAACACTGAGTTAAGTTCTTTCTGTGGATGTCTGGAGTCTTGAGCGAGGATACAATAACCGTTAAACCTTGCTCTTATACAGTAAAGTTTTACAGTAAATGTCCAGTCTCGTGCATGGCTTCAACTACTATTGAACCTTGCTCTAAAACAGTGAAGTTTTATAGTCAATGTCCGGAGTCTTGATCGAGGCTTCAATAACCTTAGAACTCTGCACTCGTTCTATCTATTGCACTGTTTACAGTGGAAGGTGTAGGGCTCAACTTCATATTGTGCAGGAGATTCAGCTGGTGAAAGAGAATGAGTGAGCCAGCTGTAAGGAATTGGTGTGAAGCTGTGTCAGAATTTCACTCAAAAGGAGATAATTTGAGACTGTGAAATCGCATTTTTACCTTTTTTTGTCTTTGCCATCAGAAAGATGGGATTGTAACCTTGATTTTGATACCCAATATTTTTACAGCCAGAATCAGAAGCTGTGACACAGTGTGCTTTTACGTGGATTATCATTGCGGGAGGAGAAGGTTCTTAAACAGTTCTCGTTTTTATTAAAGATGCTCTTCTTTGAGGTACACTTTTTGCTATTTTATTTCGAAAACTAGATTCAGAGTAAGGGTCTTAGGGACAGAAGTGTGGTCTGGACCTTTGAGGTGATCATCAACATTTTGCTGATGTATTCCAAGTGTTTTATCTCAGATTTTTATCCCTTTAAAGACAAGATTGACAAGAGGGAGGACTTGCGGTAGATTGATCAGACGAAGAAACAGGCTTGTGATTGTTGAGATTGGGGGGGGGGGGGGGAGGGGGGGGTTGATTAGTTTATTGCATTCATTGTAGTTGACCAGGTAACCATGACATCAGTGTGTGTGAATGAGTGCGTTTTTGTAAAAGTGTGTGATTATGTGTGTTTGAGTGTGTATGTGTGTCTCTGTGTGGTTGTATGCATATGTAAGGCCGTGTGGTAAAATCAGGCGCTCGTCAAAATACTGAAATCGGAGAAATAGGCATTTTTCCGCCAGTTTGAACATTTTTATAGAATTTTTATTTTTAGGCTCAACCTCTTTTATGTCCATATAAAAACACATTTCAGTGTGAATTTTACTGAAAAGCATTGATTAAAGCCACAAAATATGTTATTTTTCTGTTTTCAAGGGCTCTTTGGCTTTTGGAGTTACAAACTTTGGCGGCCATTTTCTCAATAATTTCACCAGTGCGACCAGGCGACCTCACTTCCTTCAATCGCAAATATCTTTAGTTCTATTCAAGATGGATGGATGTTAATTTCATTGGAAGCAAGGCTAACAAATCGGCTTTCTGATGATACCAATAACCCCATATGCCTCAAAATTGACGAGTACCTGATTCCACCGTGTCGTGATGCATATATGTTTGTACAAGTGTGTATGTATGGAGTGTGTAGTTGTGAAGTCCCCATCTGTTGACTAGATCTCTCACGTGGCAGTTTCTGTGTTGGACCAAACCTGTGGTGGGCGATGACGAGCGGAGTCAGCGTCCGCGTGCGAGAGAACTGCCGTCTATCTCTCCGATATCTCTTCTACTTCGGTGGCTCATGACCAGTGGTTCTCTCCCCTTATACCCTTTTATCTACTTCACTCCCTGACATATTATAGCAAGAGTTTATTTACTTGCCTCGTCTGGTGCGAAGTTCAAATCATGGACACAGATATCTTGTACATATTACCTAAATATTTATGTATAGATGCTTTTATGTATGTATATGTTTTGGAAGCACACATTTGTAAAGTGTATTACAGATTTGTGTGATGAATCTGATAGCAGTTGTCATTCCAAAGAAGTTTCATGTGATATGTGAGATAAAGGAAAAGAGAAATCCGGGCTAAGAAATGGAATATAAGTTCCCTTTGTGCTGTGCAAGCACACTGATTTGTCCTGTGAATGCTTGTTGTTTGGGACACAAGCACAGGTGTCTCTTATTAAATTGTTTATTCAACAATGTGCAATGTATCTCTGTGCATTTAGCAACTAATTTTGCGTGGTTTGCTTCTTTTACTATGTTTTTGTGGATTTTAAAAAAATTGTTGGTAGCAACTTTGTTGTACCTACATGACCTAGTTGTGTTCTATGGTGCTGTGACAGGATAGTCACATCAGTAGACTCGTTGCAATGCTTCGTTAGCTCAACTGTTGGTCACGGCTGGTGGCAATATCCAGCTTTTAGATCTGATTTTTTTTTCAACTGATGGCTAGGATGGTTCAAAGCCTCCACACATTTGGTTTTAAACCAAAACAGAAAGAGGTGTTTTTTTGTTCCTTGACAGATCTGATATTTGGTACTCAATCCTATATTCGCCGAAGTACGAAACTTTTGTTATAGTAATAATTATTTGATGTCTTGATTAAATTTTCATCAACATTAAATTTGAAGTCTTGAAATGACAGTAGCCAAGTATGCTACTGGTATTGTAATTTTATGCTCAGAAAGAGAAAAGTAAGAATGAATTCTTTGTGGTATTTTTTTTTCATTGAGAGCTGGACATAAATATCAATGACATTTAAGTTCTAAAGCCAGCCCCCGTCCTGTTTTTATGTCAAACGTCAAATAAGTAATATGATGAATAGCACCGAAAAGTCATGTTAAGATGCTTTCACAAATTTGTGTTCATAGGCGCATTTCCAATCTACAACTCATGGAAATGTGTAATTCATGATAACTGAAGGCTTTGAACTGTTTGTGTGGGCTAGATGTACCTCACGACGCCAGATCGTGCTTATTGAAAGCTAACTGTCACAATGAAGATCTCGTTTTGCGTGAACTGCTTGTGTACTTAACTGTAATATACACCAACTGGGTCTTAACACACATAGCCAAAAACAGAATGTGAATCAGGTGTTTCTAATGCAGCTTAATTCATTGTCAGTCATTCCCCTATATGTATGTCTTCTAGACTGCTTCAAAAGTGTGCACAGTTTGCCAGTTTTTTTTGTGACCATTTGTCGTTAGCCTTTGCGTTTTGACTCTCCACCCCAGCACTTTCTTATCATTTTTACATTTTTTTAAGCCAGTGTTTAGAGCTCTTCTTATGACGAATCAGCCTCAATTTGAGCTTATTCTGTTCTGAATATTTTTAATGTTATTATATAACCAGTCGATTTTTCATGTTTATATTGTCTATCTGTCACTTCTTTTAGCCCTATTAGTACGTCGTGTTTTACTATCGAATATATATGATGTGGGGAACTCTGTGCCCCCCTTTCCAAAGAGAAAATTTACTCGTTAATCCAATCCGTACGCTTTGCATAGCAGTCTGTCAAAATGATTTTTTGAGAAGTACTGAAAGTTTCAAAGAGATCCTTCGCTCTAGAAGTATTCTAAAATGTGAAAAATACAACCCCAGGCATACGGATAGGGTTAAACAACAATTTTACACAATATTTCAAACTATAGATCTGTATTGCTCTTTAAGACCTCAACTAATTTCTGTTCGTTCTTATCGTTTGTCCATTCAGCTTTGTGATTCAATTAGCACTTTTTATTCTTAAATCCTTCATTCAATGGCAGAAAAGATCAAGAGCGTATACTTCTCTTCTTTCAAGTTATTAGATTTGATGAATGAACTTCTAAGTTCTGAACGTTTTGTGACATTAGAGTTTGTGAGAATTCCTGCAGCCAGTGGTCTTTGCTCCTTTCTTATCTATGGTGAGACGTTTTGAAAATGGCATGAAACTCTCAGAGTGCGACTGATGTGAAAAAAGACCATGGTTGTGTCAACGTGTTTCTCTTTACTCCTCAAACCAAACAAACTGATGTGTAGAGCAGGCACGGCTCATATTGCTTGAGCAGCCTCATTGCTCAGGGTTTGTTTTCTTGCACCTACTTTTTTTTTTTTTTCGTTTTCTTCAAGCCTCAGTGATTGGGTCTGGGTAGGCCTGCAAGTGATCAAGCTGGGCTGTTAGTGGCTCATGGAGAATCAGTTGTTAGCTAAACGTGTGTATTGTTAGCCAAATGTGTGTGTTTTTATTTTGATGTTGTACTGGTTCAACACCAGCAAAATGTCATGTTTGTCTAGTGTGTTATTTAGTATTTAGACTCTGCACCTCTCCGTAGACAAGTGTGTGATAGTGTGTGCTTGTATGTGTTGGTAGATGGTATGTCACGTAGTTTACCTCTCCGTAGACAAGTGTGTGATAGTGTGTGCTTGTATGTGTTGGTAGATGGTATGTCACGTAGTTTACCTCTCCGTAGACAAGTGTGTGATAGTGTGTGCTTGTATGTGTTGGTAGATGGTATGTCACGTAGTTTGCGGGTAAGTGGGAGTTGCTATGTGTATAGGCTATTGTGTATTTTTTACAAGATTTCCAGTGAAATGGAATGGCACTAGATATAAGTTTTTCTTTTATTTCTGTTTTACACGGTCTTGGGTTCAGTGCCAGGTCGGATTGCGGAACTTGTTGAACAAGTCTTTTGTTTTCATTTTGTGATGATGGTGATGCATATCCTTTTAGCTGCAGACTGAAATTTTAACATTGTGTTGCCGCTCTAATGTGGATTAATCATTTTGAGAAGTTGATATATGTATATTTCAATACTAAGATATGTTTATTATGTTTATAAATATAGATATATCTATTATAGTGAGGCCATAGAGATACGTATTGACTTTTTAAATTTGCTCACCGGTATATTGTGTTTGTGAATAAGAGCATTATTTTTGTTGTTTTGGTTTTTTATCTTTGTGTTTCCCTTTTTCATTTATTTACTGTCATACAGTCTCATGACTCGGATCTTCAACTCTTAGTTCTCATTGAGACACCATCGTGCGTTTGGAAGATTTGCTGGTCAAATAATATGAGGCGAGGGTTCTACATCCTCGTTGGCACACTTTGGATCATTTAGAAGGTGGGCTGCTTTCATTTTTTTTCATGTTTGGGATGATCTACGCCACATGGAGTACATCCGAACAGAAAAACAGAAATATTCCTGGAAAGATCTAGAGGCAGTTATAACTTAATTCTTTATCTCCGGCAAGCCGCTCCCAGCGGCTCACAGTCGGAACTGCTGTGCCAGTGAGCTGCTGGCAGCAGCTCGGGCACATTCATTTACTATGACTTGGACATCGGATTACTTTCACAATTACCGAAAAGGGTCTCTTTTATCGGGATTTCATTCATTAGATGAAGAACTATCTAAATAAATTCACTTGTTTTGATTGAACGATTGAGGGGCCTCGTCGTAGTGGGTTTCCCCCCACGGAGATAAGAAGTTAAGATGTAGGGAGGTGTACGTTTAGACATGGAGCAACGGGAAAACTAGCTGTCTATGTAGACAGATTTTTTTCCAGAGTATTACTTGAATGAAGGTTATTGTGAGTCTGGAAAACTTCCGTGACTTTTGCAGACTGGGTGGAGGGAATAGCTTCCAATGTTTGTGATGCCATGAGTCATGGCATGACATTCATTTTGCTCTAAAATCTTTTGAAAGAAATTGTTTTGAGTTGGGTTGTTTTTTTTTTCTCTCCACACTCTCCTTTATTTTATCTTCTTCCATGTTCCTGAGGATTTCGTGTTTTTTTTGTGTGTTTTTTTTTGGGGGGGGGGGGGGGGGGGTTCTGGTTTTTTTTGTTGTTGTTGTTATCCTGTCAAGTCAGAGGTTTTTTAAAAAGCTCTTCAAGCAATTCTTTTACTTTTGTATATTTTTTGTGTGTGTCTTAAGATGAGCCCGAACATGTTTGCACCCTGGTCCATTGCCTCTCTAAAGTACTGTTGATTTTCCTGTTAGCACTTGCTGTTTTCTGCACTTGTTTTCACTTCTCTCACACTGTGGCTCTAGTTCCATGACTGCAATATGTACTTTCTACTCTTGTGGGTTGGATTCAGAAACACTTTGAGATTTTGTGGTTGGTGACATTGTTCTTTTGGTTTTATGATCATTTTTTAAAAAGACGCAGCAGTGTTTGTTACAGTATGTGTGAATGGCACTGTGTGTTTCAATGCTTGTTATATGCTTTATTAATGTCGATTTTTAAACAGTGTATTTGTGTATCGATGTGTGTGTGTGTGTGCGTGTGTGCATACCTGCATGCATGTGTGCATGTGTGCATCTGTAACTATGTGTGTGCATATTGCCTTGACTTTCTCACAATGCCGCAGTGACTGTAGATAATGTGAACACAAGTGGATGTCTAATGTTCCCCATAGAGGACATGGCTCAAGTAGAAATACTGTGACAACACAAGATGGACGTAATGAGACTACACCAAAATAGCAGGCAAAGAAATGTCTATCAAGTTTAGTGTAAGTGTACATTTCTCATATGTCTGATTTGAGTAGATTTAAAGTGTAGAGGATAATAATTTGTTTTGATGGTGCATTGGAAAAAAGTGAACTGTCTGTAAAAGAGGAAAAATCTATTTTCATTTCTGTGAATAATCTTTCTTAATTTTGACCTCCACCCCCACCCATCCATCTTCTCGTCTCGATTACTCATCTCTCAATATCATTGTCGAAAGCACTCTTTTTTTATTCTGATCTTGACATAGTTCTGCCCTGGACTCTGAAAGCACCACAGACGTTGCTTTCAAACCACATTTTTTTGGGTACATCTTGGATGTGAAGACATTGCTTTGATGGAGCACAGATTTTATTTTTTTTCTTCACTAAACTGTGATAGTTCCCATGTGGATTTAAGTATATTTTATCTTTCTCTACAATTTGTTTCAAAGTCCTTTCTATTCTGTGTTGATGGAATAACTTTTTGACAATCTAATTTTGAAACAAAATTTCATGCTTTTTGTACAAGTGTTAAATTTCCGCCCATTGTATATTTGGGTTCTCCATCACTTGTGGAATTTCAGCTGATGACTTTTTGATTGAGAAATATTTTTCCAGTATTTGTTAATTCTTTTACTTTTGTATATTTTTTTTGTGTTTCTTAAGATGAGCCCGGACATGTTTGCACCCTGGTCCATTTGCATTGCTCAAAGGGAAGCTACTGTGGTCCCATGCATGAACCTTATAAATCTCATTTCCTTTACCATCGGTATGATCACTTACTACTGTCTATAGTATGGATTTGACCTCATTTTCTACAGAACACGGGGGAGGAGAGGTGGACAACGAGACTTCTGAGGTTTTGTCTATTATTGTTAGACTCAATCAAGTCTAGTTTGTAGACGGCCTTGAAAAGAAATGTATATATGCTAACAGTCCGAGTACAAGAATGCGAGTTATGGTTTTGATCCAAGGCGGCCAGCAACGTACAGTTATGCATGACACTGGATGAATTAATATGGTTCCTACTTATTACTGTTCTGGCTACAATTTTCTCTAAAAATGATGAAGACTACTAATTTCCCCATTGAATATTCTACAATAAAAAGGATATTCTGTTGTTAAAAATAGTCGACTTGGATGAAGAGTATAGTCTACTCTAGGGAGAATATTTCGCTAAGATGAAACCCTGTTATTTTTAAATCAGAGGAACTTTTCAAGTGGTTTTCCTTACTTTTTTTTTTAGAGGACATGGTTTGTTTGTTTAAATAAGTGTTTTATGGCAGTTGCAAAACAAATAGGTCATGTTTTATCAACACATGGTTTATCAGGTTCATGTATTGGAGTGCAGAGTTTATGTACAGTGCCTGTCTGCCACACTTAAGGGTCAGGGGTCACGGGGTCACAGGCTCAGGCTCAGGGGTCATGGGCTCCTGGTCTCTGCTGTCAGATGTTTGTGTTCTGCACCTTTATTGTCTGTCTTGTTGTGTTACTTCTTGCTCTAGCTTTGTCTCTCCACTGTCTCTCCCCCTACCTCCTCCCTCATCTACTCCCCACTAGCTCTCCCCCTACCTCCTCCCTCATCTACTCCCCACTAGCTCTCCCCCTACCTCCTCCCTCATCTACTCCCCACTAGCTCTCCCCCTACCTCCTCCCTCATCTACTCCCCACTAGCTCTCCCCCTACCTCCTCCCTCATCTACTCCCCACTAGCTCTCCCCCTACCTCCTCCCTCATCTACTCCCCACTAGCTCTCCCCCTACCTCCTCCCTCATCTACTCCCCACTAGCTCTCCCCCTACCTCCTCCCTCATCTACTCCCCCCTAGCTCTCCCCCTACCTCCTCCCTCATCTACTCCCCACTAGCTCTCCCCCTACTTCCTCCCTCATCTACTCCCCACTAGCTCTCCCCCTACCTCCTCCCTCATCTACTCACTAGCTCTCCCCCTACCTCCTCCCTCGTCTCTTCCTTCCCTCCCCTCATATCTCGCCCACAGACATATTTCTTTAAAGAATATTTCAAATGTTTTATCGTATTTTTATTGTCTGGGAGCAAAACGATATACAGGAGGCTTAGAGAGATTATTTTTATAGGTGGGAAAAGAAGTTTTGACGTTTTTGAGATGTCTTTTTATTTTGTGCTAAATAGAAAAAAGTTGTGTTTGGCAGCGCTTGAAAGTTTGCTTTTTAGAAATATATACAAAACTTTTTAAAGCAATAGCTACCTTGCATCGCAGTTTATTTTTGCTCACTGTTCTTGTCAGAGGGAGAGATTCATATTTTAATTTTCTTCTTACAGATGTTAAGATTGTGTTACCAATCACAGGTTAGTGTTTAGTGTGAGTGACTTTATCCAGATATACACTTGGTATCCCTCTTGCATTGATAAAGTAATTCCTCAGTGTGTCACTCTGAAATTTTCACTCACTCCATACTTACCTTGACTAGTTCTATGTATATGTGCATTATATAGATAGGTCTATATAAGACAAGACTTGTTTAGCTGAGATAATTCTTCGTTTTGATGTTATTAAAAAATTTAGATTCACTCTCAAGTCCAGAATTACTATGCTCCTTTCAGATATGTTGTTTTAGTTTTATTTTTGTTTCTGGAGATTTCTATTGCTAATTTGTACCAGGTTTTAGTATTTTTGTGCAAAGCATTTCAATATATTCAGCTGTAAAGTTTGCTCTATCTCTTAGATCTAGAAGACAATCATGTTTAAAGATGTGTTCAGTTCGAGATGAAGATCTCAACTTAAGAATGCCAAACTTTTCGCCCAGTTTTCTGGAATCTGTCAAAATTTGTCATGTGCTTTATCAGAATGAATTATTTATTTGATAGCCCTTTCCCCCCTCTTCTGGTCCTCCATACTCTTTGTAGCGTGTACTCCCCTGATAGAGCATAAGTATCCCAGTTGTCAAAATGTGCCAGGGGATCATGAAATTGCGCGTGTTTGTTACTCAGGAAATTGGTTGTTTTGATTTGTTTTTGCGTTGTCGTCTTGTGGTTAGACTATTGGACTCGTAATCGTTTGGTTCCAAGTTTGGGGGTTTGAGCCACAGGCCCAACGTTGTGTCCTTGGGAAAGACACTTTTCACAAATTTTCCTCACTTTTCTCAGGTGGGAATGGGTACCCGCCCATAGACAGCAGAAGATCTTGTCAGCTGTTAGTGTTTTAGCGCCTATAAAATGGCAGCTTGCACTCTATGCTTCCCAGGAATTTGAGATTGTTTCAGAATGCTATCAGGTCTGCTGGGGTAATAATGATTGTAAAGTGCATTGAGCTTGTTGCTGAGCAGGAATTTACACTATACAAATGCTATTGTTATTATTATGTTGCATCTTATAAAGAACTGATTTCAATATTAGGAAGATGGGTGGTCAAGGTATGCTGTGACTTTTTCGTACTCTGAACAGATTATTTAGGCATACTTTGTCTTAGAGCAGAGTCTTTTTCAATCAAAATAGAGAGCTATACGTTTTTGCTCTGAGGTTGGGTTTTTTTCTATTGACTGATTTGTTTTACCTTGCAAAATACCAACTAGTTTCATGTCAAATGTTTATTACTATACACTCATTCAAGCTGTCAATAGTGTTTTCATTCTCTAGAATAGCATTCTACAATCAAAATGTTCGAACATGAAGAAAAGCTACTCCCTGAGTATGATTAATATATGTATGCTTGTCCTTATATTTTGTTGTTGTTTTTTCATCAAATGCAAATTAGCCATGATACTGTGTATCAGATAGACTACCTGATTGGAACTCACTACTCTAAGGAAGGAATCTCATCAACTCACGACTCAAAC